GGCAGCGTAGGTGTCCCTTCAGGAATGATGGGCTCTACAACCCCATCAGGGGTTTCTACGACTGGATTTGCACCCATGGAGTTTCAATCGCGGTCCAAGTGCTTCATGTGAATCAATTTATCATCGTTATAAACTGAGCATCTCATAAGAATCTCAAAGGATCATTCATTTGAACGACGATCAAATTGATTGATCTTCAGATTTCTACGAAGTGGTAAATCAGAAAAGGGAAATATTGAAGTATTTCCTTTCACTGATGAAAATTCTATGGGACCTATGGCGGAGGGAATGCTGGAACTGGTCTATAGTGATACTAATTCCGGCCCAGAGGAGTGTGAAAGATTTCTTCCACTTGAAACGAATAAACACTGCAACCCTATCCTCGTGCGTTTTCGACTGCTGCACAGTATTCGATATTTAAACGAGATAAGGGACCGATTCGTGCCTCGTGAATTGGTTTCTCTGAGAGAGGAAATGTATCTGCGAGGGACAAATTTAGAGATAACAATTAACGAGTAGTTTATAAGGCGTATTCGCGAAACAGGAAAGCACTCGAAGATGTTTTCTTTTATATATATTATATAAATAACTAGTAATTGTAGAAGCAAAAGATAAATGTGTATCTTGAATATGTAGGTTGCAATAGTAAGAAGAAGAAAAAAAAAAAAAAAACAATTTCTCTGGAAGACTATTCATCAGTGTACATATCTAAGCCTAAGTACTTAGTTTGATTGACTAATTGTGAGCTATTCCAAAGACGAACGCACGACGTGGCAGCTCCTGTAATTAGATGGAAAATCAAAAATAAATCTCTATTATTTATCGTCTAATATTGTCAAAAGAATATTATTTACCTTTCATCATATCATCTCCAAAAAAAAAAAAAAAAAAAAAAGAATCAAATGTAATTATATTTCTATAATTTATATTTTATGTGTGATTAATAGATTTTGCATACAATTAATTATAAAACTTTAATATCCACAATTTTCTAATTCCTTGTAATTAATTAATTAATCATCGTATTCTCCTAATTTATCATAATTCTATAAATTTTTTAGAAGACATTATCATCCATTCTTATGGTGATTCTATTTTTGCTCGATATTCAGAACAAAAGTATAGTCGCTTCCTGTGATTCAATGCGAGCTCCAGGGCTCAGAATATCCCTGGCAAAATGAGAAAAAGAGCGGAAGAGGGAAAAGTAGCCAATGGCCAGCAATGGGGATGTTTGCGTCGACGAGGATGTTTTACAAACACGGTGCACACAAGCGAGCTTTAATATTCTCCGTAAAAGAGAGGTTGGCCGTGCACAGCCAGTCAACACCGTACGTGCATCAGCGCAGGAATAGCACGTGCACTTTATTTTTCGTCTGGAAATCGATCGTACGGCCACGTCCCTTCTGCATGCCCGCCTCAAAATAAATCTTGCCAGCTCGATGGAAAAGAGCACGCATGGCATGAATGGAATGGACAGAAATCTTCTTATTTGCATCATTACAATTTCTTCTTTCTTCAATTTTCAGAAATTCCATTTTTTATGTTATTGTTTTTAATATGTCCTTACTTTATAATTTCATTTTTTTGTTTCAACGAATTATTATAAGTTGACCAGGTATAATGATGTTTGCACATTTGGTAATATAATTTATATCGTTCTAAAAAGACAATCAAATAAATACAATATTTTAGAATTGTAAATTGAATTATTAAACTTTCTATTATATCCATAAATATATATATATATATATATATATAATCCATGAAATTTTTCTTTAAAGTATATAACTTTTAAAATTTTTATCCAATATACATTTTATTTCTATATTATGAAAAAAAAGAAGCGTGTATTTCACCGTATGCGGCAATGTAAATCCAGTTACAGAGAGGAGGGTCTATATTATTCTGACTCTCTCATTGGTTACTTTGACGCAGGTAGAAGCAACTGTCTCTTTCTTCGAGAAGAACCATCGTAGAGACAGATGGAAACATCTAAATTCTCATTGGTTGAGTGAAACAGGTGAGACTAAAAAGAAGAATAGCATGAACATGGTGTCCTCAAGAAAATGAAATAATAAACCATTCATCTGACCAGGATGGAAAAAAGTATACAATAGCTAAATCTTACGAGAAACTCGAAACATAAACGTCGGCTACTGTTCGGTTCACGCAAAGAGTCTCTATAAGCAAACACTGGCGTTAATCATCGGTGGTTCCCCTCTCTGTGGAACGAATCCACCGGGAGTCAGGTAAATCATTCCTGGTGTTTCTCTGTAGGTTCAGATTACAGAGATGTGGTCGCAGTGCTTTACAACGGACACGACCACTATGCAATTATTGTTTCCCATTGAATCAGTTCTAGTTGGACTGACAATCACAGAGACAATAATTTTCTTGACTTTACGAGCGACAGTGTATGTAATTGTTTACGGACGTTAAAGTAGAGTCGTAAATGGCTTATATTATAGCTTAGGAAATTACTGAAACCAAGTGGATTAATTTTTATGTGGAAAATTCGACTGGTTACATTTTTTTTTTTTTTTTTTTTTTTTCTTTAAACGTTTGAATGAGTATAATGTAGCAAGCAGTCGAGAATTCTTTCGTTTCAGTCGCGTCGAGATTCACACGCACGTGCATCGTCCATGTCGTGTAAATAGAGGGCGGAGGTGACATATAGCGACAGCCAGAGGAAGCGTGTCGACCATTTAGGCGACTATTAGCAGCTTCACGGCTTCTTCCACGCACGTGCGATTCGAGACTATTTTCCGACTTTTGGTGCCGGTTAAATTGTTCCTCCGTGTTAGCATAATTAATAATCATTTTATAGCGATAATAAATAATCAATAATTATATCTAGTAAAGATGTTATTCGCAATTAAAAAGAATGAGACATTCTTTGAAGGAATTGGAATACCTGAATGGACATATTATAATTGATTTATTTAATTATGATTAATTAGTTATAAATATGAATAAATAAAAATTGAATTTTGTATTTTTTTTTGTTAACTCACCAGGATTCAGGATTAGTTTATGTTTTTATAGAAAGAAGGATGATAGGAAATATCAAAGGAGATACAAGTTGAGTTATATCTTCCTCCTTCTTCAGATCTCTATTTTATGAAAGAATAAGCAAAGAAAGAGAACGTCGAATCTTATTGGAATAATTTTTGCCGGTCTATATTTAGCTCCGCCTTAAGAATTACTCGGCTCGTTTACGCGGTCGTTAGAGTGGATTTAACTGGACGAAACGAGGGAGAGTGTGTCAGATATCGTTCGACCGAGTTCTGGTAATCCTCGCACAGAACGGATGGTAATAAATTCTCAGCGACACTGCTTGGAGAGTAGGACTGGTGTTACGCGGTCCATTTACTTTTCGAGACGTCACCTAAAATCAGTTAATTATAATCTACACACCCAACCACTTGGCCTAGCAGAATCAATATACAGTATTTATTTGTTATATGCTCTTTTCGTTAGTAATGTTCGCTCGGGAATCATCTCAAACACTGAGAAAGGAATTCCATTTAAACTCAGAAGTGGATGTCACATGGAAATACGGTTTTTTTTTTTTTAATTTAAATTTCTTTAAATGCTTGGGCTTTCATTCTTTAAAATTGTTATTGTTGGAAAAAATTAGATTAGAGTTTTGTATACTTAGCAATTATATAATCAATAATGAATTCTAAGCTTATATGCTTATAAGAAATAAATACTGTTTCTATTATTCCTCTTTTTATTTAAAACTCAAAAAAGAAAAAGAAAATATATGATTATCTTTACCTTTACTAACTTAATTTAATAATAATTTAAAATCCAACTTCTTAATAATTTTTTAAATTACTTTGTCTTAATTTCCTGCGAAAATATATTAATTTAATAATATAAATTTAGTTTTAATTTAGTTATAGTTTGTAAATTTATAATTAATCTTTTAAAATTTTTTATATAATATGTAATAACTTTTTTATATATATTTCTAATGTTTAATGTCCGATTAGTCAAAGGGCAGAGATCGGAATTCAAAAATTGCTAAGTATTCGAATGAGCACTCAGGGAGAAAGAAAGAGCGCCTCTTACAAAGAGCATAACGACGCGGACAATTTGTAGCAGAGTGTCAACGAAGCTGATTCTATTTTCGAGACGACGTGCGTGGCTATCTTTCCGCCCTGTTCCCTCGTCTTTCTCTGTCTCCACCTACTACTCCATCGTTTTTCAGCCTGTTGCACCGAGTTACCCCGGTGTGGCGTAAATTTACACGCGATTAATCCGTCCTCGTAGCCGTCTCTTGTTATCCAGACACGCGATTCCTCAATCTGTTCCATAAAAATAACAAAAATGCAAAAAGACACAGAGATAAATATAAAAATACTAATAAAAAAAAAATTACAGTAGTTTTAATTTCTTTATAGCATTGACCACAATTTCTCATTACTGTTATTTTTAATTAATAGAAATAAAAAAGAATTCAATAAATAAAATAAATAAAAAAGAATTCAATAAATAAAATAAATAAAAAAGAATTCAATAAATAAAAATTCTAACCTTTCTTGGAAGCAATAAAATAATTCAAAAAAAAAAAATTGTTATACTTCTTTTTGCATGATCCATGAGATTTGCTGTTTTTTTTAAATGTATTTTTTTTTATCTGATCTGTAACTGGTATAATGAAAATAAAGATGGAATACGATAGTTAACGACTTCTTTGAGTGCACGTTGTGTTAGGGAACCTCAGAGCACGTACCAGTCACGCAAAATATATCTCTTTCTCTTTCTACAGTGGCTCACGACACGTACGCATGCATGAAAATCGTCGACTATTCGGATTTCAAAGAGAGTTAAGAGTGTTCCTTATAAAGTGTTCGAATTATTTTTGGGTCCTTTAGAGGAAAGTTTGTTCAGCATGGAAAAAATTGGATGATGGTGATATGGAGAATCATTCTTATTTTGTTGTAATGTTAACTGGGTTGACAACAAATTGGAAATATAATGTATTTTGATTTTCAGAATATAAATATTTATTGTTTATTTCTCCAACACGGAAATATTTATCTGCAAAATAAAATGGAAATTAAATTGTATTGAACTTTTTTATATTAACATATATTTGTAGATTTCCTAAATTTCCAAGCATCGATAAAAAAGATACCTCAAGATTGGGCAATGATGGCCATGGAAAAAAACAGGTGAAAACTTATGTGAATATTTTGTTATATTACAATATACTATATAATTCTCGGTACATGAATAAAGTCTGCGTGCACAGGTTGAATATTGTGCATGATAAAAACACTCGCGCACAAAAATGTTCTTTCGCGATATCTTTTCTTTTTAATACTTGAGTTTAAACAATTCTGATTGGCTCGTGGGGAATGATTGACAGAAGAATGGATATTACACGTGTGAAATACACGTTACCTAGCCTCCAATCGACTAATCTTCCTCAAGAAGGTCATCGTCAAGATTCACACCCTGGAACAAAAAACGCATTTTGTATAGTTAACAATTTTAAAAAATCATGAACTTATGTGCTATACAATATATTTAATTGTTACTACCATAAATTAATTTTCTTTCATTCCTTTTCTTTGAGAAAGTTTAACAAAGTTCTTCAATTATTTTTGTTGTTGTTTATGTAATATAATAAAATAAATAATTAAAAGAAATATATATTTAATTAAAATTTATAAGAATATAGACTTTTGATAAATTTTTTTTAAAATCATTTTTTTTAAAATCATTTTTTTTAAAATCATTTGCAAATTTGTTAATAATTTTTCATTATATTTGTCATAAAAAATTATTTAAAAATCTTGTTTAAACCAAAATTGCACTTCAACAAATTCACTGTCATATAAATAAAGGATTTAATAATAATTAATATTTTTAAAAAATTCGATTCGTAAAATGAACTATAATTTTTTGAACAAATAATCAATTATTTCTTATTGCCAATTTTTAATAAGAAATAGATACCATATATGTAATGAGGGTACATATCGATTCCATAAAAGAAATATTTGCTGTCTGAAAGAAGAAAGTGTGATAAAACAATATAAACGAAGGAAAGGGTACACAAAGAGGGATTCTGTACACGAATGTTATGGCAATAAGGCTGTAAAGAGAATGAACCGTGACTGGCGAGAAGTCAACAAACTTTATGGTCCCACAACTCTCTCTACATGATTGTTGATGACTCAAGAATCTTGATAATCAATATTTAAAAGAATAAAAAATTTCTTTAGAAAAGAAAAAAATGATTTCTTAAAATATCATTATCGATCTTGAAATAATTGTCTCAAAATCCTTTACTTTCACATACCTGCGACGGTTTTTCTCTTCCTTTTATACCTGCGTATGTTTCACTTTTCTTTGCTTTATTTAATGAAGTGTTCGTTCTGCTCGATAGCTGGAACGTGTTCACATACATCGGTCAAGATCGATATATCGTCACGCATACATTCGCTATAAACGCGCGTGTGCGTGTTACGCTTGATTTCAGCCTGTTTTAGTAATGTAATACCCTTCTAGAATTACGCGTCTGTATTTAAGGGTATTAAGGCATCGTCTAGTTATCCCCTTTTTGTTTCTCCCACCCCTTGCTACTTTTCCATTTGATCTCAATTCACCTATTGCTTCCTTTTTATAATTTTAATGTCTTGATCTTATTATATATTGATATAATCTTATCTCGTCCCAATATATCGGTGTAAAATAAAAATACATATTTATAAATATTATTTCAACTTCTATCAATAAATGATATGGCATATCGGTTATTTATAACCAAATTATTTTATTACAATTGATTATAATAAAATTATTTTATATTAATTATTTCTATAGTTAAACTATTATTAATAAACGCAAAAAAATAAAATAAAAACAAAACCAAAGAAATGATAAAAAAAATTTATAATACGAAAAAATATACTTGATTTTTACGATTAATGTCACAATAGGAAATCATATTATCATAACATAAGGATAATTAATTTAACGTAACTACTTTAAACTTTACGACATAACTTTAACGTAACTATCGAAAAAGAGAAAAAAAAATATTCTGAAAATTTTGTCAAAATAAAAAACTTAAAATAAATAGTTATTTATTGTAAATGTTAATGATATTAATAATATCATGTCAGCATTAGATTTGGTATACATAAGCGACTTTTCACCGATAATAATATATTTTTCCTTGTTTTTTAATTAAAAACAATTAAAACAAATGTGCAATTATATAACAAAAAATCAATTGTATACCAAATATAATCTGTATTAATTGTTGGATAATTTTATATTTATATCACTTCAATTTTATATAACTTTTTTGTATCACCTGAATCTACTTACAGTAGTATCGATAGTATCGTCAATTTCGAGATCGAGATCCAAATCAGCTGCCAACATCTCTTCGAATGGTTTTCGATCGACATTGGACTATAATGAACACAAAATTAAAATTATAATTAGAAACTTAATATTTCAATACTTATGGAATATATGTTTTAGGATATTTCAAATTATCGAAAAAATAAAAATTTCGTATATTAAATTTATAAAAAAATTAAAAAATTAAAAAATATTAAAAAAAATACAAATATAAATATAAAAAAAATATTCTTACTTGTACTTCCGGAAATGCAGATGCCGGAATCTTTTTTTTACTCTCTTCTCTAAGAAACTGCTCAACTTTCAATGCTTCTCTATATCCAGGAAACAGATTTTCGTACTGTTCAGGATCAGCCAAACTTTGTCCGGCTTTCTTGCTTACAGTTGATAGTTTTTCCTTCCATAATTTTACAATAGATGAAATTTTACTAGGGGCATATGTTCTTGCAAAAAATGCAGCTTCTGGAATTCTATCTGTCTTTATGAGAATATCTAGGCACTTGTCGAGATCTCCAAGAATAAAATATGATAAGAAAGAAATATTATTCTTGCCAGTTTCGTCTGCGTCTACGCCCAATTTTTGAATCATATTCGCATTTCCTGTGCTTGTGGCGAGCAATAAAAGTCCTCCGAAATCTTGTGCCTGATGCAAACATTCTTGTGCTAAACACAATTTTCCTTTCTGCGTGGCAAGAGATGCCAATTGTCGCCATTTTTGCTGGCTATTTGCTTCCTTAGCAAGAGAATGTGCCGTTACGAGATCTCCCAAAGCTAGAGCCAGTTCGAACCTATGCTCTGGATCCGTAGATACGGCTAATGCTTGTTCTTTAAAACCCTAGAGTTTAAAGATATTTGAAATATTAAAATATGGAAAATATATTAAGCAGTATATTTCTTCAATAATACGCACTTGTTTCTCCAAGAAATGAGCCACACGCGTACGATGTTCTTTGGGAACTGTGGGAAGAACTCTATCTGCTGTTTCAAAATCTTTTCGCATAACAGCAGTTTGGTATTCTAATACAGACAACAATAGTGAATATGAAACAACAGATAATTCCTTATCACATAGATACAATCTGTTATCCCTCGGTACATATCCAAGAAGATACATTGGTCTATCCAAGTGTGATACAGTCACAACTTCTCCACCAACAAAATAATTTATTCGATTTACACTATTTGTATAAATGAAGCAATCGCCAACCCAAAGACCAGTTTTTACAACTTCATTCATTTCTGCTACCATCTATATGGTATTAATCAATTAGATTTTAAAATATTATCTTTTTTTCTAAATGTTAATGATGGAAATGACAAACCTCGAAAGCATCTTCAATGTCTTCCGAATTTTCTGGTGCGTTTGCAACAGCATCAGTATGATATTTTAAAATAAAGTATTGATCAGATGTTGCCAATGCTACTAAAGAGGCATTTTCGGCCCAATAGACATGTGTAGGTTGAATGTCTATACGACGAATTAACTTTAACGTATCCCAATCGAAGAACGATAAGCCAGATCCGGATGAAACGCCCAATAAAAATCCCCCAAAAATACCTAAATAAAAAATATATAACTAAATAAAATACGAAAGAGAAAAATAATTATTATATTTTATATATTTTTTAAGAATAAATAATTATTATATTTACCATCAGCACCAAAATCGGGTTTAAAACTCTTTTTTTCTTTAAAGTTTTTAAAAACTTTTACAGTAGTGTTACTTTCTCTAACAGCATACTGACTTGAATCAGCTGCCCAAATAAATTCTGATGCTTGACCAAAGGCTTTATTTCTTAATGCCATAGATGTGTAAATAATATATTCTCCATCTCCACAAACAACTAAGAATCTTCCATTTGGATTGTGTTGAATTGTTTGTGGATAAATTTCACAAGCACCCATATCTTTAACAGCTAATGGAAGCCTCTCTCCATCTTGTGTTTCTTCTCCCAAGGCTTTCAAATTCACTTGCTGTATTTCACTGTGCTTCGCCCAAACGATTTTACCACCCAATGAATCCATTGAAACTGCAGGTTCCTCTCTACCTACTTTTACTATAACACTACTTTCATCATAACCAATTGCAACATTATTCGAACCCCGTAAACAAGCAATTGTCCATACTCTTTCAAAACCATAATTAAGAGAAGATTCCAATCTGTATGTTCCAGAATGCCATATTCGAACTGTTCCATCTTCAGAACCAGTGAGAATAATTGGTAATTCTGGATGGAAGCAAACAGCACAAATATTCTGTGTATGTCCTTCCAATGTTTGTACACAAGTTTTGTTTTGATAATCCCAGATTTTGACATAGTTATCATCCGCCCCTGATATTAAGTATGGTTTGTCTCCACCATGATAGTAATCAACACAATTTACACCTTTTTCATGACCATCTAAAGTGAAATTGGCAGTTGAAGATCCAAGTTGCCAAACTTTCACTGTTCTGTCTAATGATGCACTTGCAAATGTATTGTTATCTTTTGGATTGAATACAACTTGCATTACATAATGTGTGTGTCCCTCAAACACTTGTTGTCCTATCCAACCTTTTTCCCAATTCCATAATTTGATTAACATATCATCTAAAAAGAAAACACAAAAATTAGTTTTAAAAAGAATTAAAAAATTATTAAAAATAAAAAATAAATGAATACATACCACTACTTGTTAATATAAATGGTTGTGTTGGATGTACTGCAATACATCTGACATAGTCACTATGTGCCTCAAAAGAATGCACACGTTCTAAGGTATTATAATTAAATACTCTAACTTGCATATCATCTGAACCAGTAACAACCCAATTCTTGCGTGGCACAAATTTAGCTGTACGAACTGGTAAATCACACACTTCAAATGTTTTGACCAGCATTTGATTTTCATGATTCCATATATTAACATTTCCCTGATACAAGGAACAAAGCATCCATGGTTCTGTTGGATGAAGATCTACACTTTTTACTCTGTCTGACCTCGCAGTCAGTTTTCGTTTGATATCTAACCTCAGAGGCTGATGAAAAAGAAAATATAAATTTATCATTTAAAATATAATATGACTTACATAATGTTAATATATTAATATAATAAAGGAATTTCATTAAAAGAATTATATATTTAAATAATAAACCATTTTGGAATATTTTAATATTTAATGTGATATTTTAATAAAAAAAATTATGTATTAAAATTATAATTGATTGCATGAGTTATCATTGAGTGAATGAAATATATATTATATATATTTTTTAATATAAACTTATCATTATTATAATGATAATTATCACAAAAAATAGCCAGCTGTCAAAAATAAAAAAAAAATAAATAAAAAAATAAAATGATGTATCATTAAAAATCATTTAAATCTAGAATTTTTGTATCAGAACAATCATATAATAATTATTTATTATAGAATATATAGTTATAATATAGCTATTATTATTACAATTTTTTGTCACTACCATTAAAGCGAAATATAAACTGGAATATAGGAATAGGAGATAAATTTGTTAAATTACATTATTTGCATCTTTAAAATACATACCATTTTTTATTGTACAATGTATATTTACAGTATTAAACAATTCCAAGCCCAATAACGTAGACACAAAATTTAAATTTTCTCCCATGAAGTAACTACGTGGCCCAACCTCTCTGCCACTACACAACAATATACACCTTCTAAAAATGGCGTTGATCTAAAGGTTTTTACACATGGATTGAACAATCGACCAAATATATTTATCATTAGATGAATTATTCATAGAACATACTATTGGATCTTATAATAATGTTATTGGCAATTTTTATAGAGTTAAACTTATTAAATTTGAAGATTTATTTATAAATTAATGATGCAATATACAATGTGTCAAATCCTTAACCTGCACTTTCATGACGTACTGTCTGTAATCACATATAACCCCTTAAATATTGTTGAAATATCGATAAAATAAAATTCTTTTAATAATTATTAAATAAATATATATTATTGAATAATATAATAGGAATGATTATTATTTTACAAACGAGATCTAGAATAGATCTAGCATTCAATATATTATTATATATCATGTCATATACGATGTCCATTTAGGTTTAAAAATAAAATAATGAAAATGTTTAACATTTTACTAGATTTTGAAGTTCAAACGCGAGATGGCGTTGATCTTCAATTCTAATTTATTTTGTCTTTAGAAAGATGTTTTTGATATGGCGTTGAATGTTAATTCTTATGCTATCGCTATATCATTTTATCATTTTCTTTGTTTATATATTGATTTTATTTATAACGATGGCACTCTAGAGATGGCGCTAAGTGTTTAATTTTTGTTCTATCTTCTTTATTTGTTTTTTTTGTCCATATTTGCTCTGCCAAATTTTTAGATAATAATGCCGATATTTAATTAATTTTGTCTTTTCCTAAAACAATTATTATAAATTGTTTTATTAATTAATAAGAACACAATAAAAAATTAAACTGATAAGATAATTATAAGTATATTTCTTTGCAATTAATTGAAGAAATATTAACAATAAAAGCACGTGCTTCATTGAAATTTTATCAAAAAGAATGATAAATAATTTGTATCAATAAATCAATATAAAAATATAGCGATTATTCATTGTATGTAAATGCGATTCACGAAATAATTTGAAAATGTAATTATTCTTGTACACGCATCTATCATGAAGTGTACAATATTTCTTCTGAATAAAAATGAAACATGTACTTTATAATTGTTAATTTTATTATCTTGTAAGTTGACAAATCGATTTTCAGATATTCTATTAATTTTTGAGAAAAGATGGACTTTCAGTTTGAAAAACTGATTAAAAAAACTATTTTTTTTATTGAAATTATAATATTTTTAATAACTCGAATATTTATGATAGATCAATTTGTGTAATAATGATACTACTTATGCTAATAAGTTTGGATTATTAATTATCAAGAACTTCAAAACAGTAAGTAACAATTAATTATATTTTGTCTTTCTTAATTCTTTTAATCTTCTAAGTTTTATATTACGAATGTAAAACATAGAACATTTAAACATTTATGAATTACAAATATCATGTTTGTGGAATGAACATAAATTTTAAATTTGTTATATATTGAAAATTTCAATATTTTTTTCGCAACTTTTTTAGTGTATAATATATAGTAGTATTCAAAAGTTTAAATTATTATTGCATATATTATCTCTCTCAGCAGTTTTCTATCAAATTTTATGATTAATTTTTTAATAAATTATTAAATGATAATAACATTTCTTTCTAATAATCTCCATGTATTCTTTTACAAGATAAATCTGTTTTATTAACTAATCTGTGGATTTTCTATCATCAAATCATAATTATCCAAACAAGTAGCTGAAATTATCATTATAAAAGTTTTTCTAGGGAAAAAATAAGTTCGTGATTGTTTCTTCTCGATCCAGAAAGAGGTGACCCGCTTTCTGAACTTTAACCATTTAGGTATGGTCTCTGAAGATCTGGTAGTTATGATTTTGCGGTCGAATTATTTTTGCTTCTAGGGAAATATGAATATTAAAAAATAAGTAAAGTAGAATAGATTTGAAATAAGACTTCTTCATCTTTTTTTTTTTTTATTCTTCATTCTTTGTATGTATATTTTACATACATTTTAGATTACTCAACTACTATACAAATAGAATTATTAGAATTATTAACATGACAATAATATTTATTTGACGAAAAATAATTGGCAAAATATATAATTTGTAATTATACTTGATAGTTGATTTTAGATAATGTCGTTATTTCATTAAATTTATTCTTTTATAGTTTGTTTAATGAGAAATAATTATCAGATATATTAAATATGAATGTATAATAAATGTATAATAGATTCGAATATTGTACTAAAACTATGAATTAAATCAAAAATATGTAATAAATACATAATTAATTTATTTCAAGTTGGACTTAATTTAAACTTATTAATTTTAATTAAATTTATTAAATCAAAAATTGATTCTTAAGAACAACTTTGAAGTTGTAATAATTTTTTTTTAAATTTTCAACATTAAAAAATAACATATTTTCCATATTTTTAAATTTCTATATTTTTATATAAATTTAAAAGATATTTCAATTCCTATATTTCTATATTTCCATATTTTTATATATTTATTATTTTTATATTTTTATATTTTCAAATTATAATTTCTAAATGATAAACCTAAGAACTCCTCTTCAATTTTCTCAGCGTTAATGTTCTATTAGAGAAACGCGAACTTATTACTCAACTTAATATTATACACCGTTTACTGCGAGTTACTCGTCTCGAAATTCCACGAATACGGAAGGGAACGTTTTCGTCTTTAGCTTCGAGTCGTCGACCCGTCTCGATTGCGAAAAAACGTTCTGCGAAACCATGATCGGTTAGTTAGCCCATTCGTTGACTTATCATCGACCACAAATCAACCAGAAATACTATTGATATTGTATTTTAGCTTCTGGATTTGTTTGATAAATAGAAATATCATATCGACACTCATTGATAACGATGATTGATTTATCAATTCGAATATGTATAATTATATTTGTTAACAGCTGCGCCAATTATATCGATGAATATTGAATTTCGGACTGTGCAGAGTAAAAAATTGACATCTGAAAACATATGCAAATTTTATTGATTATAATATAATAGAATCATCTTCTCTTATATAATTATGAAAATAAAGCATTTTAGTTACAAGTTAAATCATATATATATATATATATATTGTATAATAAATGACATAATGATATGTCAACAAATGATAATTTTTATCATTAAAATTAAAATATATTAAACGATTTGCTATTTTGTTAATTATTATAAAAGATGATTCATATATTTTATTTCTTAAAGAGATAAAACTATATATTAAAACAATTTTTTCTAATGTTTTTTTAAACATAACCTATTTTCTAAGAGTTAAGTAATCTCGCAAATCAGTATCATCATCTTGAAGAATTCAAAAAATATTCAATTTTCTCTTTCATTAATAACTAAAGAAAAGAAAAAAGAAAAAAAAGAAAATGAAAACAAAGGATTAAGACTCAGGAAAAATGAGTGATTATAGGAATGATCATGTGAGAGTAATTCAGGTACATACCTGACTTCCTAGATGTCATATTTCAAAAGAACAAAACCCGACCGGGAAACGGATACCAGAAGTCTCTGGTAGCCGGAAGCAAGAACCAACAACCAATACTAGCAAAAAGGGAAAGGAATTTCCTCTCGTGAAACCGTCTCCGATCTTAAATCTTCGTGTTCTCGTATATCAATACGTGATATAACTTCCGCTGTGACGATTTTCCGAAGCAGCGCGTCGATCGATAGCATAGATCACAGACTGATCGACGACTACGTTCAGAAGAAAGAAAAACAAAAAAAAAAAAAAGAAAGAAGAGCGTTTCCATCTATGGAATAACATGACGCATGATCGATGAAACTGTGAAATAAAAATCTGTGCAAAGAACTGAAAAAAATAATAACAAATAAAAAAATACGAAAAGCATTAATGACGAAAAAAGAAACGAATAAATAATGTATTCGTCGCGTAATTGTAGTGAAGTTCTTATTACTTGGAAAGGAGTAATGGATCAGTAATAAATCGAGAACGTGCCTATTAAATATTTCATACACGATAAGTAAGAAAAATGATCTTGATCTCTTACAATATTAGATGACAATGTATTCATTTTATTATTGAAATTTGAATCAAATTAGCCAATATGACAAATATGATGACATAAACTTTGGTTATTTCTAAAGTTTCTCAGAGCCTCAGAGCCCTCAGAACCCTCTTGCATAATTTAATAACTACAAATCAAATAGGATAAGTAAATATTTCAGAATTTATAAAACTTATTACGTAAATCTCTCTCTTTCTTTATTATCAAATTTATTACTATTATAAAAGAGAATATTTTAATACTTGTATTTTATATAAATTGTGTAAATTTTATAATATTTCATTATTTTAATTGTGCAAGAGTTTGTTTGAGAATATCTTTAAGATATTAAAGTTAAAGTCATGATATATATGAATGAAGGATTATGAAAATAAAATAAATAAGAATCACAATCATTTCGATTTTTATTTTTTTCTCTATCGAACGATTCACATCGACATGAATACACTTAGCTTCACATTCGAAATCCTAACCATAGTTAAGATAAAATCGATTAATATGAGAAAATTGAGACAGATGGAAAATGATCCTCTAAAATCCGCGCAATTTGCTCGAATTTACCTACTTTTTCTCAATCGGTAAATCCCACGTTTATATATTTATTGTCGCGATTAATTTAATCATCGGTTCGCCAAAGGAATTTATCAAAGCTAATGTCAACGTAGATGTCATATTGCTGTTTACAGCCATTTACAATCTATTCTCGACAGGTTAAATACCAGGAGTAATTTATACAGTTTGATTTTTTATTTTGATTATCACATGAGAATTAAGATAATATAAATAGCTGATTCGCATTGAAATAAATACGATTGCACGAAATTTTATTTCAGAAAAGAGATAATATTGTGAATAATGATTTATTCACAAGTAAAGACATATAAGATTTGAAAGTCGATTTTATTGTTTTAATATTCAATTATTTATATAAATAAACTTATTATAAAAAATTAATATTTCATTTGAAAAGAATAAAATTAACCTTCAAATCTGTCATATACTTCCACTTGTAAAATCATATTACGTCTTTTCTTCGATTTTAAATCTTATAAATAGATGTTTTTCCATATTATTTCAAGTGACAACGGTATCAGGTGGATAGAGTTGATGGAATATATCCTGAAAAAAAATTAATTGATTAAATTCATATTTTTTATTATATATTATTATTATAATATTAAAAATGTTTAAAATTATATAAAAAACCTATTTATCTAATTTATATATCTCATTTAATTCCAGTCATCCGTGACCCTCTTACGTCACTGGTAAGTACTCATCAAGGTAACAACCACTTGACAATTAACATACTTATTTCTCTATCTCTTATCAATATTATAACGTTAATGCAAAAGATATGTCATTTTCTTAAGAAAAATAATATTTCACCTAAAAAAAACGATAAAACGTTAGTATATACATTTTCTTTACGAAACATAATTTCCTCAGGAAACGATTCGTTTGATTAATTGCGAACGAAATTGAAAAATTTTGAAACAATAATAATTCAACACTGTTTTATCAAGAAACGAATCTTTTCGATTGCTACTTCACTCGTTCATTATCGTGCAATTATCGATGATCGATATCGATATCGATATCGATATCGATGATGAAAATTATGGATCGATAACGTATCAAAGATTCCTATTTAGAAAATGATCGATCGATAGATCGAAGTTCTTCGTTTCGTGAAATTTTCCCTCTCGATTGAGTGATTGTTAGTGTATTCGTAATTATGCAACATTGCAAGAATACGCGTGGCTAGAAATAACGCGGGAATATTTGGCAACGCAAATAATTCCTTCTCTATTTCTGACCGGTTCATAAACGATAAATCGAGCTATATGAGAACGAAATTCTTTACATTACATTATGTACGAGAGAAAAATTGAAAATTGAATTAATTTATTATTTTTTTACGTGCATCAAATTGGAAAATCATAAATTTTACGTTTTATACATATAACACGTGTTTATAAAAATCAATAAATCGCATTATGATTTGTAATAGAAAGTTTTTCAATTTTAATCTTTTTTTTTAAACGAAACAAATGATAGTCATAGCGAATGAACAATTTTTGGACTGATTCCTTCACTATCTTTTAAATTGGATATTATATATAGATCCGGATACTATGATGTATTTTTTAAAAATATAAAAAACGTGAAATATAGAAAATGAGTTTCTCTATTTATATTACTAAAAATCAATGGATCGATGTAATTTCCTGTAGTATAATAATATAAAGTTTCTGAATCTAACAAATATATTATTGAAAACACATTTGATAAAAATTAAAGAGGTTAGAAGTAATTCTACATTTTTTAAAAAATAAAAAACCAATTCGGATCAATTCATCTTTCGACAATCAATTTACAAATTGTTCAATCGTTCATTCTATTCGTTCTCTTTCAATTTGCAATTTAGATTCTTAGATTCTTATCTAATTTGTTGTAATATTTCTTAAATTGAAGATTTACATAGGGAAATTAAAGTTTCACAGAAATTGAAGCGAAAATTTAAATTCTGCTCACGTGCTGGTGTACGTGCACCACGATTTATGCGAACTGAGAAACATCCGTGATCTCGTATCATCATATTGCGATTATTATTCTACGATCGATCATCGGTGATCTCTTATCTCTTAACGCGAGCGTAAAAAAAAAAAAAAAAAAAGAAAGGATAAGAATTGAGGTGTATGCGCATACACAGAGACGTAAGCCCTACGTGTTTAGAAAAAGATCAGCTTTTAATAAACCGACGTTAAAGATCTTTGAACTATTGCCATGGTTTTTTTACCTCGTAAAAGACGAGGCTCGTTCACGTACTACTACGTGACATAACAATCCATTCTCTTTGAAAGTATTCCGCAATAAAACTTGCGCTTTTACCGATCCCTGTCACCGTGAAGTTTCCAATTCTGACTGTTCCCACCATAGATTTACGATCACCGAATCGAAATTCCCGTATTTCCGTAATTTTGCAACGTTTTCTAAAGAATATATCACAAGAAGAATATCCTTCAAATGGATGATAATGACTGAGAATATTATTTCGGGTCAAGGGATGAAATTGAATCGAGAAAGACGAAATAAATTTTATCGAATTCATATAACGATGGATATCGTTATACCTTCTTTGTTCTTCTTAAATAGTTCAAGACAGGAAAATTTTTTTTTTTTCGAGATAAAGAGCGAAACTTTCTTATCTCAATGTTTTTATACTCGCAGAAAAGTTATGTTATTGTTTCTTTAACAGATCAGAATTTTAACAAGACAGAAAAATATATATATATATATTATGTTTCGCAATAAATTTTCACGTGGAATTTCACGTAATCAATCGAATATCTCAATAACAGCTATCCGATCTAAATAAACTAATCCCTTCCACTTCATGTAAAAATTTTATCCGATAAATTTAATTGATAAAAATAATTTCTCAATCGAAATAAAAAAGAAAAAAAAACCATTTGACATAATACAATTCTGTCTCATTTCATGACGCAATTAAAAACTAATGAGAATAATTTACGCGAAACACCAACGTAAGTAAGTTCAAATTGTTATTGTTTGAATTTTAAATTAATTTAATTTCAAAAAAAAAAAAAAAAAAAACGAAGCGTTCCAAGAGTATCGTCCTCACCTCGGTTGTAATCGAAAAGGATGGGAAACTGTGTCGGCAGATCGATTTGGCAGTAAGTAACGGGAGACTCGGTGTCTGGCAGAGGAGGAGTTTCTACATATAGAGGTAGAAACGAGTCGCGAAACGATTCAGTCTCGTCGAAGCCACGCGACATTCGGTGCCGAATCGCGGAAGTAAAACCGTCTCTGTTCTCGTCCAGGTGTGACGGTAGCCGTTTCCAACGTGGTGGCCGCATCAAGGGAAGGTGGTGCACCACGTGTTTCCAATCTGCGGCGCCCCATGCGAGGGAGGAGGCTGCGAGATAAATTAACCCCTTTGGCCGATCTCCAGGTCGCTTAAGGTGTGTCGTAATTTTTTTTCTTTTTTTTTTTCTTTTTTGGAATTAATAATCGAATATTTTGAATTTTTTTTATTTTTTTCGCAATCGAGTAATAATAAGAACGGATATTTATTAGATCGGAATCGGATTATTTTCGAATTTGAATCGAAGTTTAAACTTCTGGATTAATTTTGAATTTAAAAAAAAGGGCGAAGAGATTTGAATTTGAATTTTTGAAACTTTTGAATTTCGGGATATTCTTGTATTCCGAATTTAAAATTCGGAAAAAGTGAAAATCATGATTTCGAATCATTCGAATCGATGAGATTTCAAAGTTATTAAATTTACGAAAGATTAAAAAATGAATGAATAAAATCCGATAAAGGAACGATGAAATTGTTGAAGGCGAGTATATATAAGCAAAGGTGTAATTGATTTGATAAAAAAATTAAATTCAGATAACGCATATGGAGATTAAAAGAGTTATTAAGATTAAGAAATTATTTGAATTCTTCTCTAACACGAATTCTAATCGCAAGGGCAATTCACATTGGAAACTGCTAATTTACAGTTTGGTCACGGTACGTTAAATTTCATGTATATACATACATGATTTTTGATTACCAACAATACCTATGTTTACGCGCACATGAAAGATTACATCGTTATCGTGAAATCCTTGGTCAGGGATTAAAATATGATTATCCATGACTTTACAGGGTCCAGAATATGCAGTAAAGTTCTTTTGTCTATGATAATCAACCGAATAATTATTACTTTATTTATAAATACAAAATACAAATACATTTACAAAATATTAAATAAACGTGAATCGTTGCAGTAATAAGTTAATTACTATGGTGAAATATTTTGTATTTCCAAGATATATTCAAATAAAAGAATAAGAATTTTAAAGGTGTAAATATCAAACTTAAAGGTTAGCTTGAGCCAGTTAGAAGCCATAATTTGATAAATCACAAAATAGAGAAACAATGTTACGAGTATTTTTTTTTGAACGATCATTTATTCCATTTCTTTATTACGAATCAAATTATCAATGTGAATAACTTGTCTTTTCCAGAAATTAAACACATATAATAAAATCGATTTTACAAATTCAAAGATTGAAATTCATTAATTAATAAAAATAAGTTTCAATTCGTTGTTCGATTTTTAACAAAATTTGTTAATATTGCAATTAAGAAAGAATTAAACCGCAATTAATTTAAATTTAATTTCCATATTTTAATCATGTTTCATCCAGAATTTTCAACATTATTAAACCTTTGTTATCAATAATGGTCTTCTGATAATAAATTTACAAACGTGTCATGTGAATTAACAAGTATGCAATTTCATTCAGACATTTTCAACATTATTAAATCTTTGTTATCAATAATGTCTTCTGATAATAAATTTACAAACGTGTGTTAGCAAGTGTGACAATTGTCGAATTAAATTTAAGAATCTTTCATTGCCAAAATAAAGGGTTTAAAATTTTATTTTAAATAAAAAAATATCTGGATATCCTCTTTATCCCATAAGGAGTTTATCCCATTAATCTAATCTCGATCGATGATAAGAAAATTCGAAATTGTTTTTCCATAAGTAATTATCTAGGTGTAATGGGAACACAATGATAACATGGCTCGTTAACGCCGGTCATTAAGTCTTGGCACGGTAACAGAACTCGGTATCAATTAGACGAATTCAGTTTCAATCGGCAGAATTTAATTATCCGCGGCGTCAAAGTGTGACTGCGGTTGGCTAATTAACCGGCTTCTGTTTCGATTATACACCCTCGATTTCCTGTCATCTCGCGAATATTACCGGCGCACAGGATCGTGGTAAGTATTTGATCGAGTTGTATCGCGATATTTTTGTGATTGGAAATTAAATTTGGCTTGGTAAAAAAAAAAAATAAAAAAAGAAAAGGAAAATTAATTAAATCCTGGAACTTGTGTGTATTTTTGTATAAGAATAATTAACGAAACCGTTTTAATGCAAAGGATTTGCATTATAATTTTTTTTCTTCTAATTAAAATAAAAAAATAATATTGCAAAGGATAAAGATAATAATCTTTGATTTTTCAGTATTCGATCCTCAAATTATCGAAGATGTAATATTGACAAATAAAATTAAATAAAAATTTGTTAATTACAAATAACCGATCTAATTTCGATTTTTTGAATATAGAGATGCTTCAATTCATTGGTTAAAAAGAAATTGAAAGTTAATTCAAGATTTATATAATGCGAAGAAAAATAGAATTTATATGCAATACTCTTGACATTGAGAATGCAGAAAACGTAATATTAGATTTGCAACGACAGACACACGTTCCTCCTTATCAATTTTCATTTTCGACGCAGATGAATATCGAAATGATTTACAATCGTATGATTGTAAATATTATTTTTTGCTTTTCTGTCAACGCGATTTACGATTTCTTTATAAAAAAAAAAAAAAAAAAAAACTTCGTTCTTCTGACAAAGAAAATCGAGAAACGATATATGCTAATTTCACAATATTGATCAGAGAAATCTTGAATCAAAAATAGAAATTTTCGTTTATTCTCGTGAAAATTTTTCTCTATGTAAGAGTGCATTCAAAATTGTTATTTCGTTTTCCATTTTCCTCCAAGTATTTTATCTCGAAATATTCGATTTTCTCATCTATTAGTATGAAAAATATAATTCGGTTGAATTTCCGACAGATTTAACAAGCAAACTCGATCGACATGGAACCAGCTGGAATCTCGATAATACAGACGGGTGGAATCGCGGACAATGCGGGTGGAAAATCGAAAGACCTTGGCATCACGTTCAATCCGAGCTCGAGCATACAGGCTGCAAAGGAAAAGATCGTGACACCATGTAAGTGAACTTTTCAACTATTTATCTCAGCTTCTACGGATATTTTGAATTTTTAAAGCCTTTTAATCTTTAATCTTAGAAGATATTTTTCGTAAAAAACTTTTTAATTTCGAAGATATTTCAAAAAATATAATAGCTATAAAGTTTGAGGGATGTTTTCAATTATTTCAAATACAAAGATTGAAAATAAAAAAAAAATCTAAAAATTTATTTACTTTCTTTCTTACTTTAATTCTGTAAAATTAAGTTAAAGACGATTCACCAATGAAAAATCAATGAAATTTTTCATTCTTAATTTCGTGTGGAAAAAACACGACGATTAAAAAAGTGACATGTAGAAAAAAAGAAAAGAAAATGAAAAGATGATTGGAGAAGGAATTTCCTTTAATCCCGATGAAATTCCGCCAGATATAAAAATTCGAGCATACCGCTTAGAAAGGTGAATGTTGTACATTCGATCCTACTCGGTGAAAGAAAAGAAAGTACGGGCAACGCGGCATGCATTTCAAGAAAACAAGATGCCAGAGATCTCGCGATCAACCGGAAAGTACATCACGTGAAACGGAAGTCGTGAGCGGTGAATAATCGACCTTAATTATATTCCACGCTCCACATATTCATTTATCGTGAAAAACGACGAAAAAAACTTGCCTATGTTGCTAGAAAAATTATCTCATAGTGGAAAATATCTATCTATGATGCATTTATTTGTTTAGTTTTTTTATGTTTATATATATTTGAAAAATGTTTTTTTGGAAAATGTAATTAGCGTACCACGTTAGATGGATATCATTATGCGAGAAAGATTAAGTGGCTTCAATTTATTACTATAAATGTCACTAAATTATAAATGGAAACTATCAACAACTATCTAACAACTTTTAAACATTTTCGTTCTTGCGTGTCAAATTTCGGTTCAATTGACTTTTGAAAAATATTCGATGAATTGCATTTGCATATGTCAGAGATTTGAATGATTCTATGATGAATAATAACTCGGAAAATAGCTCATTCGTTACATAGTTGTGACATAGTGTGAAGTAATTATCACCGTGTTGAGGAATAATCGTTATTACCATTGTAGCGTGTAAATCAACAAGCTACAAATTGCCGGATAATAAAATCCGTATGTATTTGCTATAACTTTACTATGCCTCATTTAATTTTATATTTGGATTAACAGATCTGTTATTTGAGAATTGTTAAGGTTAGAAAAATGTTTCTAGGGATTGTTAACCTTAAAATCTTATATTTCTCTGAATATGATCATAAAAATAAATATTTTTCCCCTAGAAAATTGATTAATTGATAAATTGCGATATTGAAAATTTAATGCATCATTTTAAAAATGAAATGAAATTATACTACCATGAAAATGATTTTCAAAAAATATTAAGGATACCTCATCTTTTACCACGACTATAAAACCATGTCGATACTCAGCAACAAGATTTAAACCCGGTTTCTAGAAGCACCGTTATGGAAACTGAGGGCTGTTGAAAGTATCGTGTTAATTTCCAACTTTTTGAGCTTTTTAACGTACCTTGAATTAACATAAGAAACAAATATTTATCAATCATTGATTAATAATCCTTGCAAAATTATTGGCGATATAAAAAAAATAAATATATATATTTTTTAATATAATTATATTTCTCGATAAAAAAAATTATTTATATGAAAATTATTTATATTAAAATTATTTTATATTTAGAAATGTTTATATATATTTGAAAAAATGATTATCGTGTCAGTTCATTCGAATAATCCACTGTGAAACGGCTAATTAATAAAAAATTTTTACATTAATACGAATAAAAATTAAGTGATTTGTCTAATGAGAAAACTTTAAAAGACATTTCAATTGAAAGGAATAACAGACTCACAATAATAAAGTAGTTTCAATTGATGATTGAATTTATATTCGAATAATTCGAATAATCTAAATAAAGTTTTTTTTAGAATAAAGAAAATGAAATTCCACTTCCTAAATATTTTATCGTCACACACATTGTTTATTCTAATTTATAGATCCATTAACAAAGTACGTTCTTATGATTGCCCCACTTGCGAAACACAAAATCACGTGAAACAACATCCTTTATGGTGGCGCCACAATATCGATATAATCGTAGTGATTTCCCTCATTTTCCTCGTTCCAGATACTTTCGAGTGATACTTTCTTTCCAGTCCGTAAAAGTCATCGATAAACCTGATTCTTCAAGAGGTTTCTAATTGAAACACATCCAACTCATAATCTGTCCATTATTTGGATTCGTAAATTCGAATGAATGATCTTTCAGGAGGATCTTCAAATTTCGTATTTTCGTCTCATGAAAATCGATCCATAAATTCTGTTTATGATATTTTATTTTGACTTAGAAAGTTAACGAGATGCACTATCTTATGAACATGTGTAAATGAAAGGAATTTAATTCTGATTCTACATAAGATGATATGATATGATGATATTAGCTAATATGAGAATCTTATGGTTATCCATATGTAAATTTAAAAAGTATATAAAATAATAAAATAATGAAATAAATATTATGTTTCAGTGAAGAAACTTTAAATGAAAATTTTATTATTATTAAACGTAATGCTGATTATTTGGAGTTTTTATATAATTGATATACGATATGATATGAAAAGAATATAAATAGTGTTGTTTTGGAAACCGGTTTATTAGACATTCACTGCGAACTTGACCTATTGTCATACTTGTAACTCATTTGAGTGTAACATATATGAAAAGATACAGTTAATTTATGAACAATTGATAAGATAAAATTTGATTTCGATGAAATAATCAAATCATAACTAATCTTAGCCTGATATTTTAAATGTTTTTTTCCAAAATTATGAAAATTAATATAATAACGATAAAGATTTCTTAGAAGATTTCTAACTATTCAATGTTCTTTAAATATTTTTTTAAATCAATATTTACCTAATCTTAATTAGGTATTATTATCTCAGCAAACTAACCTGAATTCAATTAGAAGAAGAAAAATTTTTTCTTATTTAGATTATAGAGAATTTGTCAAGCGAAGAGATGCTGAGGTGAACATGTTGCGGAAAGCACGGAAGCGACGTTAATTGGAGCGTGGAACGCTCGAGCAAGAAGTAGTCCTCGATCTTAGGGAGCTTTTGCGCGTGCTCTCATCGAATCGTGTGCTATATGAACCAGGCAGCGACTAAACTGCGGCGAGACAGAAATTAATTCCATGCGCGCTTTCTACTCTAGTCTCTCGACACGCTATTAATTCGAGAGGGACTCTATTGTTTCGGTTTTAGTTATATCGAGAAATCGTGATGTACTTTCTTCGAGTTTATGACGCTGCATTACAAGTGTATATTAAGAAAAATTGGAAAAAATTTCTAATTTACGAAAGAACGAAAGAAAAAATTTCATTCTATTTCAGATAAATTAAGTACATTTTTTATATGGTGAAATATCGATTTATCAGACTTTTTATCAAGATTTTTCATCGACATAATCATTTTCTTCTTTATCGAGCCAGGCGATTGAGTGATTGATAATTCTTTTCATTATAAGTAGATGGCGTGTAGAGTAGCATTATAAATTGTAATTGATATAGGAAATAAGGAGAACGTGGATTTTTTATCGAGTTCGAAAGGTAAATGATGATCCTTTCACTTTTCTAAGTCATGTTTTCTAATTATGAGCAAGTAACTTTCATCATAATTACAGGTACCACCTAAACTTCTTATAATTCTACTCGCAATTATGAAACTCAGATATCATCAACGAACTTCTATATAAATAGTCTTATGAAACAAAAATTTCAATTTACTATTAGCTATATATAATTTTCTGAAACTTCCTCATTCTTAAAGAAATTATAATAAAATTTGTATCATGTTGTGAAAAAAGTTTCCTAATTGCTATTTCAAGCAATTCACATTACTTTATATTTTTATGTAACAAGAAAATTCTTGTTACATAAAAAAGTAATAACTTAAACATATATTAAAGATATTTTACAACATTAATAAACTATTACATTCAGTTTAAATGTTACATCAGAACATTTTGATTGATCTTCATTCCTATGTATTTTGATTTTCATATTATTAAATGTTTTTCTTTTTTAATATAAAAAATTTTTTTACATATAAAAAATTTATATACATATATCATAAATTTAAAAAGTTTTTTTCTTACTTTATATATTATCAATTTAAACTTATTTCTCATCAAATTATTCTTTTTTACAATTTGAATAAAGTATACATATATACATAACCTAATATACAAATATACATAATATAACCTATTATATTTTTATATAAAGAATGTATACTCTATTTTTATATAAAAAATGTATAAAAGTTAGTGAATTTCTATAGACTTGAATAATATTAGGGTCTTCCAATAATTAGGCTTTTGTCAATATGGAATCAAACCTGAAAGCCGAGGTAAACGCCAATGAGTGATCGCTGTCACTCTCGATGGGACGTTAATGGAAATTGTGCGTGACACATGTTGCCTTCTAATTATATCCGGCCGGTATACGGTTAATCACGAGAACTCTACGTAATTCTGGGCCAAACGTGTTTCCGCATATCCTATGTCTAACTATGCACGCGAGAGAATCTGTGGATAAAATTGGGTTATCTGAAAATTGTCAACGAGTTTCGAAATTTCTAACCAAAATTGCGATTTTTTTATTACAGCTTTTTAAAATATAAATTTTTGTCTTAATGATGATAGATTTTTTTTAGTGATTTTTTTCATATATCTTAAAAGATAAACTCAAAGTTGATTTATTAAAGTATACAAAATGATTCGTTAAATATATTTTCAGAAATTATATGGATGATTTGGCTGAATACATAGAATAATTCATTTATCGTAATATTGTTGAAGATGCTGAAAATTACTTAACAAGATACTTAAGAAATATATTTAACAATGATTCATGTTTAATGTTCCAGGAAAATTTGTTAAAATCTACTTTTCTCATAAACTA